TATAAATTAAATCTCATGATTGTTTTGTAATTCCGAGATGAGGAATAAATTATGGAAAACACATCGAAAATGTTTATTAGAATATACCCTGGTTTTTAATATGTATGAGACGAAACTGACAAATCTGTATATCGACTCTATTATTGTTTTTTTTTTTCTTGCGGCAATTTTTTCTTTTGTTTTTTTAAAACACACATTTTTTTTCAATAGAGAAGCACATTTGACCTATTTATTACTTTGTTAAAAACTTTCGACAGTTTTTATTTTGAGATTCGAAACTACAATAAATTATTACTGCATACAAATACGAGTTAAATATATTAGCATATGCACTTTGCGTATATCAATGCATCAATAATCGAGATTGAAAAACAAATCTTATCGAAAAGTTTGCACATCTTTAAAAATAAACCATTTCAAATACCGCACTTGAATTCGTAAGAAATGCCTGCAGCATTTCCACATCGTCGAAATGTGACCAGCGGTCCGTCCCAGTATTGCGTGGGAGGACATTTATTTTATAAATATTTTGTATTAATCCTGTGTTTCTGAGGATAATATAACACAGTGGTGCACTACCTTTTGATATCAGCCCAGTTTGTTTTTGAGTTTATGACACAAGTATACAAATTCTTATTTATAACTAGTACGGACTGTAATCCGTTTATACACATAACCCCACAGTTAGCGGTAGGTAGCGAGCTTATCACCACCTTAAAGCCGGCAACGCACCTACAGTTCCTCTGGGTTCCTTCTAGATGTCAATGGGCTTAGATGAACATTTGGGTGTTCTCGCTGCTCGTTTCCGAGTTCTCTTCTATATGAAAAAAAAGTTCTTACTTCCATTACCAGAGATATCATAGCCATATTTTGCAAAGGTTATAATTTTTTAAGCTATCAATTAAGAAAATATGCTTTATTTATTGCTTTGACCAAATCTAACTGTACTTGCTATATCCGTAATATTAAAAATTTAACTTCATGAGAAACAGCATACGTTACTTTTAACGCTTCGAAAAGACGTGGGCGTATTGCACAGAGATATTTAATATGAGAAGTGGCAGATGTTTTCCAAATGGGGCTAAAAGATGTGACAAGTAATCATATATCGCCGTCACTTTGACTGACATGCAATTTCAAAATGAATGTCGTTTTTTATGCTTTTAGTCAAAGTTAAATGGCTTTTGTGGTCAATAATATATGGGTAAATGTCGTGTTGGGATACTGATCACTAATTGATTTCATATCACTGGTACAGTTTGATTCCTAAAAACGTGTTGTAAAGAAATATAAATTTAATATGGCAAATTTATTGTTATAAACAACTATATATGCACTCCTAGAATTAATTACAATTTAAAATTATAAGTAACAATACATAATAGTATAAATAGTTTCGTAACTATATCTTTAATTTTTAGACACAACTATTAATTTTGAATTTTAAAAGGTATGGCCAGTCTAAATGTTCGTATCACTGCACACTTTAGTTTGAGAAATAGACTTGTAACGTGCCGGCTGTCACAACCAAATTAGACTTTCCAAACAGATTACGAATATATATTGTAACATGCTTTTGTTCTACGTTTCCGAACTCGTTATAGAAACGTTTATTTGTAAGATTAATCCCGTCGTCTCAATCTTATCGGATTCTCGTCTCGCTGGGGAAATTCATTATTGGGGACTCGATTGCCTAATTCCTCGACGGAAAGTATTTCTTTGTCGTTATATTACAGAAAAAAAAAAGAATTGCTTATTTTAATTTCTTGTCAAATAAAGTAAGTTTTCTTGCAATTTAATACAGTAAAGTTTGTGTTTATCCTATCAAACGCAATGGTTTATTTATTTAAGTAACTATTAATTAAAATAAATATTGGTTAAAAGTTTGTATACGTCTTTGAATTCAACGCTATCTCAATTCGACGAACATTCAATGAGTAATCTATATACGGAGAAATGATTACCTTGTTTGTTTGTACAAATTCAAACTTGCTTATGATGTGGCAGATTTGTTGTGTTAAAGTAATCGACCATAAGAGACTTACGTCCTTAACACAAGAAACAAAAGATAAGGTAATTTTAAATGGCGTTAATTATGTGACAAAAATACCTCTCTTACGATAATTGTCATATTAACAGATAAAAGTTTCGCATATAGATTATCCTTCGACCTTTTAAACAAATCGATAAACAACCGAGTGTTTGAGTTTTTCGAGATATCAATAAAAATGAAGAATGTACATTTAAGAGGCAATAATCTCGTGCAAACAAAGCGAAAAGCGTTCTATCGTTTGATTTTTACACGCGTCCGTAATAAATGTTCTTTCTATTCAATAATAAATTCAATAAAGTGTGCTCGGAACATAAAAGTTCAGCCTCGCTCCGGATTGCTATCAAATGAAACGGTTACAGATTTATTTTTAAAACAAATCGTTTTATGCCTGCTGGGCTTTAACCTGGACACTGAGGAATTTATTAGGGCTGCAGATGTTTATTGCAAAAATATTTTTTCATTAGTTTAAAAAAGTATGTATATAAACTTTCCAACGGATTTAATACATTTTTGAATGGTTCGATGCCGATGTGATATCCAAAAGATATTAAAATGTTGGATTTTCAACTTTTACTATAATTTTGAGTTTAGGATTTATGATTAGATGCAGTTTCTTAAGTCACCTGAACGATAATGATAAATGTAAATAATGATAATGTGTTGTAATAATTATTACAACACATTATTTTATTTTATTTACGGAACATTAAGGCACCAACGATGTACTCTATTTTAAGCACTAATTCAAATGTTATATTCAGACAAGTATTAAAGCAAGTGACAGCCCTAATATAACTTTTTTGGGTAATTCTTGTGGCTTCAAATTTTAGAGAGAAGAAAGCAAAATTACCTACCACGCATGTGATGTTAATAGGTGTTATTTGCGTCGGTTTAGTATTTTTAAAATCAATTTAATTGATACGTCTGTCTTCTTGAACACTATTTTTTTTTTGGTGAAAGTTTTCGAGGCGCCGGGTATCGATCCTGCTACCTCTCGCATGCTAAGCGAGCGTTCTACCATCTGAGCTAGCGCAGATGAACACTGTATTTAACATCTTTCATTTTGTTTTTTCTTTTAAGATTTCATTGAAAAAAAAAACATTAGTTATGCCTAATGCGTTCCTTAAGAGCATTACTGAATTTTTAACGATTATTCGAATTTTTTCTAATGCTTTGTTGATACCAAAATGAACACGAAAGTTGGCGTAATTGTGTCGTAAGAAATTTTAAATTTGTTATTCGTATTTCTGTAATAATTTTTGTTATCAAAGTTGCGTCACTAATGGCCAGTTTCCCAGACTCGTTTAACCATTCGGTTGTGTTTTTGGTTAAGTTAAATGAATTCTTGCAATGCGTTTCCGAACTATGTAACTTGAGTTATAACCCATTAAATTTAATTTAACCTAACATTAATGAATCACTAGTTAATCATACTAATGTTATAAATGCAAAAGTTTAGATGGATGTTTGTTAGAGTTTGTAGCATAAAAGGCTGAACGGATCTGGATGAAATTTGGCATAGATTTAGAACATAATGTGGAAGCACACGTACTTTCATTTGTTTATTTTAATACGCGGACGGAGTCGCGGGCGTAAGCTAGTGATAAAATAAATGAAAACCTCAGCAACCAAGCATAACTGGACAATAAAAATATTACCTACGACATTTGATAAAAATATTAGGTACACCGTCTTCGTAAACAAGTATATCATATTCCAGATCTTGTTTTGAACCTCCATTGTTAGTTACTGACGAAGCATACTCTCATATTTCTTTATTCGATACCTTTATACCTCGATGACATACTTTGTTGTGTTGATGGACATGAAAGGATAGATCTAATTGCTATGTTGCCATTAAGACGTACTGACTGCATAAGAGTTCCCTGAGATTTATGTTACAACGCGTATCCAGTACGTACTTTAGACATGTTAATGAATTCGCATGTTTTTTGTTACGTTTTCTTTTTCTTTGTACTTCAGGTACGTCGTGTCATTTTACGACTAAATTATTCTTTTGTTAATGCTTTTTTACTTTTAAATATTACTGTATAGTAATATAAGTCGAGATAAATTTTTATTTAATCCAAAATAATCCTATTCAACTTATTTTGTCTCTTTGAACATAACTCTCGGGGATCTGTTTACCTGTGTACTTCGGCCGTGATTCTGCATAATGTATAAGGATCGGGTCAGCTTTTTGTTGATAATAAATAATTTGTTTATTTTTACATATTTGCATATTACGCACAAAGTTACATAAGCCACATCATTATACATTTTAGGTTACTTTACAGTTAATAATGAACGCAATTAAATAACAAACGTCCGAAATAATCTTATAATTTAAAATTTTAATTAAATTTTACATTTATCATTATCCTTTGTTTATTTTCTATTAATTAATGTCTGAAGGGCTTTTAAATTAACAGATTAATAATTAGTTAAAATTTAAGATAATTTGTTATTTAATATAATCTTTTATTACTATTTGTATAGCCAATAGTTAAACTAAGGCAGTTTTACATTTAAAACTATCGCATATTTTTATTCATATTTTAGTTTATACTAGCTGTTCCCGTGCGGCTTCATCCGCATGAAATTGTAAAAAAAATATTTTATTGTTTACATTTGTCAAATTATCAATAGCAAATGTCAAAATTACATCACATGACATGACAAACCTTAGAAATCTTTCTTTCTTGATGTTGACAGCAACTTATGGTCTCTTTCCCACATTAGAGTTTTTATCCAAAACATTTACGCCATAAGTTTAATGGCGTGATAATATAAAGCCTAAAGCGTTAAATAAGTTTAGGGCTTTTTATTTAAAAGAGAATTATTCAAAAATATGCTGCAATTTCTGACATGTTAGGTAACAAACAACTTTGTGATTACGCTTTATTATAATAATTTGGAGTATATATATAGATTTTTTTTTTCACAGATATACGCAGACGAGGATCAAGATGGCAACTTAGTTGAAGATATAACTGTAGCGACTGATAAAAGTGATGAAATCAAAGAGTCTGAAAAGAAGGGGATCTATTCTCCGCTGAACAAGCTGCACGGTCTGACGGTGCTCGAGGATGACGCGCAGATGGCTGACGACGAGGACATGTATGACGGAGATGAAGACGCCGAGAGCGGGGACTGGTATCCCGATTATTATAAACAAGGCCCCAAGGTAAAGATTCTAAATAATATTTTTTTTTATAACATAAAGTGGCAAACGAGCAATCGGCCACCTGAATCCACCAAGATGGAAAGCGACCGCTGTCCATAAACATTCGCAATTGCAGATGCGTTGCCTACCCTTATCCGACGGAGGAGGAGACGCACATAAAGAGGATATTTTCCTTCCCATCCTTTCCTCTCAAGAAGGCGTGGAAAGGGAAAGGGACTAAAATTAGGCCTCCGGCACCACACTCATCAGACGAAACGCGGAATTGCTTCCACTTCACGCCTGTTTTCTGTGTGGTCGTGGTATTACACCGGGCGAGCCGGCCCTGTAGTGCGAAGATGTTAAAGCGGACTCTACCACTGTTAACAATGGTTACAATCGTAACTTTATATCATCTGAACTATTATAAAGAGAAAATATTTGTATTTTTGTATGTGTTGAAATTACCCAAAAACTACTGGGTCTATTTAAAAAAATCTGGCACTATTTAAAAGCAACATTCAGTACACTATATTTTTTAATTTCACGCGTACGAAGTATCAAGCAATAGCTACTCTTTAATATTCTCATCTTCGACGTCATAATTGCTTCATAAAGAAAATAATGAACGCAGCAATTTAATTTAGTTTTAAAAGAGACGTTTTGAAAAATATCGCTCCTTGACATATTTCTGTGAATGATATAATAATTGCAAAATAGGGATTACATTGGCAGAATCCTAACACGAAATAATAATTTCAATTTATAATTGAATCTGTGTTTATTTCTATTTGACCTGTTTGATAAGATAAAATATAGCAAAGTATAAACACATTACTTCCTATCATACGTTGAGTTTAATTTAAAATATAATTAACTAACTACAACATATATTTACGTACGGTTATTAGAAAAAAATCTTTTATGTTTACAATTCATTCAGCTTTTTTCCGATTCAAAAGACGTCAAGGTTGAAACTGCTGGATATTTAAAAATTTTACGACTCTGAGTTCTATTTGTAAAAGTGGCTATGGATTAGATTAATATATTGCTTGGGCGGAAGATTATTTTTTCTGTTTTCAATCCTAAGTTACTCAGAGATGATGTACTAGTCTAATGTTGAATAAAATTCAGAAAAAAAGTCAGTAGTTTTTGAGTTTGTTCGTCACAAACATACTGAAATACAAATCTTTTCTCATATTCAATGTTGATTCATTGAGAAGTTATCGAATCTGAAAATAGAATGTGGGACACCTGGTTTCTGTTTGTGGTTATTCAATGGCGAATCATAGATTGAATTGCGGGATGACGCAAATGCGGTTTGGACGTTACGTTTGCATACGTATGCAGGCGGGCATTCAATTTGTGATATCACGTGCTAAACAAATCTATTTGCAAACTATCGAATTCTCTGCTGCGCCATTTGTATTTTCCATCTATTTGTATGGCTTCTCTCGCGTGAAAATAAATTTAAGATCTAGGAATTAGCAATTGAATATAGCTAAGATAAAAATAATTTCGTGAAATGTGCTCCATTATCTTCAGTTTTTAGTTCTCTTTACCACATTTACACTTTTCGTTTCGTCCCATTTATTTTCCTTTCGCATGTGCTTAGGACAGACGATTTTTAGTCTGTTTGCCTTTTAAACCATGATACTTTTTGCAAAAGACATTTAATTATAATTTAGTCGACAGCATTTCGACGTGTTTTGTTTTGCTTTTAATTCGTGTCTCTGCCTCAGAACTAATTATCTTAATTACATTAAGTCTCGGATTTTCTTTTGTAAATTAAAAACATATCTTTATAGGAATTAAATTTTTAATAAGTAGTTTTATAATAAAGCCTGTACTATAATATTTTTGTTAATCGGTTTGATAGAATTTCTGTTGAAATTAGATAACTAAAATAATTGTTATCTTAGATTGGGACAACGAACATGGTGCGCCTAAAGCCCGAGGACTTCACGGACGCGGTTGTACCTGCAGACAAGAAAAGGCAGATCCCAATCTTCAACATCACGGAGATGAAGCGTCTGCTCAACGAGAACCCTGAGCTTACCGACATTGGTAAGTACACATGTAACTTGCAGCAAACGGCAGCTCAAAACTTCCGCCACGGTTCTTTTTTGTTTTGTCAAATTGACTACTAGAGATTGATGAATTTTTTTTTGTTTTAAAATGTAAAACTGAAATTCAAAGAAAATAATACCGACTTCAAAATAGTTTAAAACGAATGCACTAAAAAGTAAAACAATTGCGTGTTCTATCTTGTCTATATTGTTATTTTGTACTCGGTATCATCTAATTCGTACCAGATTTACCAACAATGAAGATACCAACTAAAGCAGCAACAGAAGAGGTCCGAGTGAAGCGCAGCGTGTTCCCTGATGCAGCGGCGGACGCCATCGCTGAAATGCCGGTGCCGAAGATCATCTCCAAGTCAGACGACCGGTGAGTACTTAGTTTTTATATCTATTATAATAGTAGTACAAGTAAAAAGGAAGTGATGCTGATATTTATTGAAAAAAAGTAAAGATTAACATCGGAGAGTTAATAGTTATAAATCTAAAGCTTAACAAATTCGCAACAACTCCAATGACCTAATTAGAATCCAAATTAAGAAAATGTATTACAAAAGAGCTTCAAACAACATAATAAAAATGGCGTTTCAGTCATCTTTACTGCCTATAAACCTCAAAAAACAGTCATTAACGAATGTAAATACACGTTCATTCTTTACCTCTAACGACACATCAAAACTATTTTTTTTGCACGCTGTACATCCATCACAGAAGCATAGCTGTAAGGTAGAGTAAGAGACAAAGGAAATTTATAATGCAATGTACAAATAGAGGATATCAGGTGAACGTACTATCGATCGACCTTATTCAAACTACATGGCGACATTATACTGAGTAATATTTATAATATAGTTAGTCTTACAAGAATTACTAGATGCGATGCTATTGCGATTAATTCTACTGCATGGGTATAAAAATAACAAAAAAGATGTGACATGACAGCTGCTGTAAGAAAAGCATCTCTTCACTATATTTCAACAATGACAGGGGGCGCTAGTGATCTGTCATTTAGTTTGACATATGTCAAATTGACATGTCATATTAGCAAGTTCATTTTTACAAAACAAAAGTATACAATCCCATGAAGTTAGTAAACCCTTCTACTGGCAACATTAACCAATATACAGACTAAAGGCATACGCACACCTAAAACTAAACTATCGCACGACTGTTTAGTCGCGCTTTAGAGGTGCGCATACTACTCGATTTGAAGTCGAGTTAGCTTCGAAACAATCGACAACCGTACAACTGTTTTGCGATAGTTTAGTCATAGGTGCTCTAAATAGAATTTTTTTTAAATGTTAACACTCGTGTGTAATCCTTACCTAAGGTATGCGACCACAAGTATCTGGTTTCCAAGTGTCATCAAGTGTTGGATTACAATATTACACACGGCGATGTTTGCTATAAATATTATCTACGTGTGTGAAATATCAATACGTATAAAATGTATTATAAGCACTGGAATTTACCGATCCCTTTATTGCTAAGGAAAATTATAAGCAAATATACTTGTAACCATAGATGTAATGTTTGCGTCAAAGTAAGAATAAAACAAAACACAGCTTTTAATAATCTGTCGTCAAAGATTAGGTATGTCTACAGAGGTATAACAGCTTACTCTCCCTTTCCCTAGTAAATAATTATTTACGTTACGCATTTACCTCATCTATTACGCAATTATTTTATACACAGCGAAATAATAATATTAATAACGACAATAAACAGTTTAGTTTAAAAATGACAATAGAAAATGTAATCATAACCAACTTGAGAAATAAGTACTAAAATTACAACGTTAGTGACATAAGTAATCATATGAAAGTTATTTATCCACCAACTTAGAACATTTATCATAATAAACCACTGGGAAACTGGACTAAATCTCTTACCGAATAGGTTCTATGGATATTTTTATCCATGAAAATTTAGCCAAATTAATTTAATGTTGGCGGTTAGGCCTTACTGCCTACCTCGATTATATTAATGGCTCTTTTATATTGATATTCTTGTCTCAAATTACTTTGACTTTTTGACTTAAAACTTTTGAAAAAAAAAACTCATTAGGAATACTTAACATTATTAATTATAAACTGGAAGAAATGGAATAAAAGCCAAACTTGATTTTTAAGGTTAGAAAAAGTTTTATAAAGAACAACATTTTAGTTTTAAAAATTGGTCTAAAACATAAAAATAAAATCTTTTTATGGAATACAGATTATGTTGCCCTAGAAGAGAAAGTCAAAGAAATACTATATTTTTTAAAAAATGTTTATGATAAGAATTTTTACTGTGACCAGATTTTACGTTTTCTTTCTCCTGGATTAAAAATAAAAATTTCCTTTATATTTACCTTATTAATAACGATGAAAGGACGTTGTATTTCAATATAAGCCTTTTATAAATATAAATTGAATTATATTTTCCCTCTTTCTAGTGAAGCGAAGCAATTTTTAATAACCCAGCGCTCGCTCCGTTTTCAAAGAGATTAATATCATAAGTTAAAATCTCTCTCAGAGCATATTTTTTCATTGCGTCCATTTAATAAAGGTAACGTAAAATACCAGTTCACAAAGAGAACTATATATTTTTAATTCACGAGAAAATTTTATAAATCAATTTAATTAAAATTTTCTTTTTAAGCTATTAAAGCGTATGAAATTAAAATTAATTTTCAAATTATATAAATACTAGTTGTTAAAAAAATATTCCATTTACCTTGAAGTTCTTACAACGTAGAACATTTTTGATTTCGACAAGAAAATAAATGATTTTGTTTCAGACAACAATAACAAGATTTATTTTGATGTAGAAACAGGGACAATATGACTAATATTCCCCACGTGTTCACAATATAGGTCATATTACAACATAAATCTTACACACAACTTACAAATCAAGGTCTGTTACGACATAGCAAAATATATTTACTTCTAAAATAAAAAGATACATGTTAAGTGTAATTAAAGCCATAAAATCAATAAAACATTAGGCTTTTTGTTACAGTCGCAAAATGAAAAAGTTCATATCAAGCACAGATTCATCCATAGCTGACAAGATGTCTCTACACACGGTCACAAGAACTGCAAGAAACAGCGAAGACGAGGTATGAGTATTAAAACAATCGCATATGCCCTAATAAATAGAACAAGAATAAACCATCATTTCATACTTCAATCCATATGTCAAGTTAACACAAAACTGTCCAATTATAGAGTTTTATGTCCAAGTAATTTCTAAGTGTTAAAGTTTGTAACTTTATTATTTAGGAAGGACGCAGGAGACCATTCATCGCCGCCCACTTCCACGGTAACACGTCCCATCTGAACCCGGAAATTCATGAACATTACAAAGGTGAGAACTACAACTCCACAAGTGTAAACACAATTATATAAGAAAAAGGAAATATTTATCGATGAAAATTACCACTCCACAACCGCTAATAATATACGAAATAGCTGTTGCATATGACTTTGTCCTTTGAAACCAGAAAAAAAACTGATCAAACACGTTAATGCGTCATGCGTCGTCAGCCGATTAACCATTGTAATATATTGTAGGTAATGGTCTGGTGAGCGTGTCCCACGACGCGCCGCACGACGTGTGGTACCCCTCGCCGTGGACACTCGCCTCCCCGCACCCGCGGCCCACGCTCACCCGCGCCGGGCACGTGCACGTGCATCATTCTGGTGTCTACCTCGTCTATGTTCAGGTCAGTTATAGAAACTTCTAGAGAAACATTAAGAGTTAGGGTTGTCCCTTCCTCAAGTACTAGGGGATTTAGAATTGATTTTTTTTCTAATTGGTTGACCTTATGTGTGATTACAAAAGATAAATAAATATATCTGGTAATATAGCCAGTGATACCTCATACATTAGACGAAACGCAAAAATATAGAGAAGGTATTCCACCACTAATAGTTTTACAATATTGTCACGACCAACAGACTAATGTGATAAAAATTATGTCCCATAACAGATTTACTATCTGGATAGCCACGACGTGATATCATGGGTGCTGCACCGTACTAACCGTGGTACTGAAGGCCGCGAGACTCTCCTGCAGTGCGCGCAGTCCGCGCACTCCCCTGAGCCCCTCGAGAAGCCGAACTCCTGCTTCTCTGCCGCCGCTCTCTTCCTGCGCGCCGGCGACAAGCTCGCCGTCAGAAACACCGGCGGCAATAGACACTCGCTCATGCAGCCCGAGAAGAGCTTTATAGGTCTTATTAAATTGGCCGACGCCGAAGAACCCAATCAAGAGCTATAATTTCTGATGTGTTTCTAAAATCTCATTTCTTGCCTAAAGCCGCCGCTCCTCAGGCGCATAGTGATACGTTCTTTAGTCAGGAAGTGCCATTGTTAATGCGAATCAAATAAATCGTCATTCGATTTAAAATCATTAATTTTATGTTTATAGATAAGCTTAAAACATTTCTGTTTTTGGAAAACTTAGTTTTTATAACTATTTTTATTTTTTCAAAGTGTAAATTTACATTGAATACGTAAATTCAGATATCGCTGTGTGTGATACGTTCATAGTTCAGCTTAGTTTTATATAAGCATGGAATTGATAGTTTAGGCTTTTGATGTTAATGAAATTTTCTAATACGTAACTTAGTTGATAGTCGCTCGTATTTGTACAATGTATTAACCGATGTGATACATTGAATCTGTTATACCATTGATATTATAAGTATAATGTTACAGTTATTCATAATGTAATTTATTTTTACGTTTTGTAATTCATTTATTACGGACACGTTAAGTCATAACATTTATTAAGGAAAACGCAATCTGGTATTGGCAATAATGAATTTGTGTATGTCTACCAATTAAAATTATATAAAAATTCAATAATTTGTCTTTCATTTTAGTATAGCTTTCAACCGCGACTCCGTTCGCCTGAAATTAAAAAACAAAAGTTAGTAGCCTATGTGTTCTTCCAGACTATCCTCTACGCCTATACCAAATTTCATCGAAATCCGTTTAGCCGTTTTGGCTACAAACTTTAACAAATGGATGTTTCTTTTCCTTTCCATCTAAACATTCGCATTTTTAATGTTAGTATGAAGTAAGATAGAAAACCAAGAAAATTTAATAAGCAAGGACTTAGCACCTTATAATTTTACAAATATTTTGCTAACATTTTTTGCACAATTATTACTACAAGAAAACACAATCGCATTTAGTCGATTTCTACTTTACCGTCAATTAAAAAGGATACAAAATTTAATATCACAGCAATAAAGGAAATATTCTTTGGTATTAAGCGAAGCTTGCGGTATTAGAATTTGTGATCTAGGAGAGGCGCGCAGTTATTCGACCTATGTTAATGCGGACCAGACTGTCGGCGTCTATCTCATCTCCATATTTATATGGAAAATAGAATTGGACGGACAAATCCTTTCATAGAATTGTAGATTCTTGTCCTACACGTTACAACAATGGTAAATATAACTATGTTGAAATTCTTAGTTTACTTAGGTTTATACCAAAAGAACTTTCTTGTAAGCCGATACCTTCACCTTAAAGGTTAGCAACAAGTCTATAGTTCTTCTGCTATGTATGTTTACGGGCGTCTCACATATCAATAAACGACCCGAAGCCAATGCTCGTTTGCTATTCTAGAAAAACAGAGTACGAGATATTTCATATTTTAACAATATTGTTTTTCCACACGGTTGCTAGGGTAAAATAATTGACACAGACAGATCGCGTAACCATAAAGGCCCGACGGAATGATGTAGGCATCAGTGTAGTTGTTCATAACAAGATTGATTACAGCTTTCGTGTTGCCGGGAGCGGTCGGGCCGCGCCGAAAGCTGTCATAGTAACGAGGTTATAACAGGACTTCATGCCCCAAGCACACTACCGAATTAAAATAAGATACTACCAGGCAAATTGTTGTGTAGTGGGTCAGCAATCAGAAACAAAGTTTAATGTTGATAAAATCGTTCTTGTGGACACTTTGAGCCCACACACCTTTTACTAAACTATCGCACAACTGTTTCGTATCGCTTTAATTCCTATGAGCCTATATGGAGGTTCGCACATTACTCAATTGTTTAGTTGCGCTACTAAACAATTGAATTGACTGCGAAACAAACGACAATCGCACAACAGTGCGCCCGCTCTTATCCAATGCGCTGACAAGAAATTGACATGAAATTTTTTGTGTTGTCAAACCGTTTACTAAAGCTTAGTGAAATTTGTATTTCCGCACGGCTTTCGCACGTCAGTGTGCTAGGGGCGTATGTGATAACACGGGCGAGAGAAATTGGAGCCGAAATGACGAAAAGCACATTAATCTGCTTACATTTCGCATGGATTACGTGTAGCGATGTCTGACAGGTAAATAATTTATTTTGAAATAAAATGTACCGAAACAAAAAACAATGGAAAATCGCTTTTAATGTTTCATTAAAATTGGTAACTTTTCGTATCCAATTAAATTTAATTTATAGTTAACCACCGCTACAACATTTTTTAAACACTTGAATAAACCACTTAAAAAACTAACCCTAGCCTAATAATGTTTGTCCTTGAACGTATGAAGGTCGCAGGGGTTAGAAAGGGGTGAACGTGAAATGTGAATTTACGTAAGATGTCGCATTGAGGACGGGGCGACTCTGAGATAAGAAATAATGTATAATAGTAGTATTAACATATTACATTTTTTCTTTTGAAAAAACCTCATCAAGCTACCAAGATTCCTGTTCAATGTCACCTGCAAATTGTGAATTTCGACGGTGCATATTTTGCCGACAGGCTTTTGTTGGAATCACTAAAAAACTATAATTTGCAACTTGATTATTAGGAAAATATACTAGGAATAGTGAAAACATAAATGGTTGTTAACATGAGTTAAATAATAAATTCCGCTCTTCGCAGTTTATCAGGGATATATTTAAAGAGAATTTTCCGATAAATATGTAGGCGATGTTCTCGACGCTTCGCGACCTTTGTCATTTGATTGCATTTGTAAGTTAAATCAGTAAAAGGAAATGATATTCTCTTCAGCAAATATCACGTACAAATATATTTTTAACTCAATGCAATTTGCACTCATGATGTTATCTAGATTGCTGATTTGAATTTCAATTAAGTTATTTCGTATTTCAATGACAAATCACATTCTAACCTATAAAATTTGATTAACAACACTAAGGGTGGGTTGCATCATATCGCCGGTTATCGTAAAAGTTATAGTTATAATTAATAGGGTTACAAGTGCAAAAACATATTTTCACAGAGGTTTTATGTGTTTTTCGTTTTTACAATGGAAACATTTAAACCTGAATGTCACTAAAGTGTCAAGTTGGTGTCAAAAATGACATTTATGTAAATTAAAATGTTTGGAAATTCATGTTTCGTCGATTATATTTATGTATCATACGCATGGTATTTTATAGTGACATAAACTTTTTGTCCACGGAGATGGAAAAAATGGCAAACTCTTGTGAAAATAAACTAGTTTGGGCCATTATTGAAACTGTAATTACTTTACTACTCAAATATGTAGCGCCAAAAATGAAGCAATAAAATTATACAAATATAAATGCATCTTATTTATTTTCCATATTATAAATTGTCCTGTCAATGCATATTATAAATTGTCCATTTATGGAGGACATTTTTTAAATAAGAGAAAAGGGACAAGCGCTGTTGCTATGGCCTTAGACACTCGAAATTTGTCCAAACTGAATGTTTGGCCAAATTTCGAGTTCCATCTTGGAAATCCATTATTTCCGAGCACGCAAGACTTTATTCTTCTGGATTACGTATAGGATAATAGTAGAGATTTTCTTTTTCGATTACTTTTTAAATTATTTGTGCTTTTGAAGATAAGAGCTTGTGACAGTTGACACTACCGAACTGACACTAACCGTAACGCTAACTATAACCGCCCAAAATCGGGCGGTTATGATTAGTGTCAAATATGACGTCATTTTGACCAGCGCAAAACTGGTGTAGCGAATATCATGAACATCCGAAGACGTAACCATCGGGAATGTGCTGGTTAAGGTTTATAGTTAGTTAATGTAACTCATCCTTGGTAAATTTTAAGGTTATTCCAAATATTACTGTTACAAATAATTTTAACTTTAACGGTAACCGGCGATATGGTGCAACTCACCCTAAAACAATAAGTACATGTTTTTTGTGTAAAATGTTTTGGGAATTTGAATAAATATTATTTACTAACGCTTCAGAATTGACAAAGCTTATAGTTATCATTCGCCAAATATTAAACTCAATCAATGATTAAAGCACTCGTATCAGTTTCTTGTCAAAGAACAATGTTAATAGCTGAAGACATTATACTCGGAACTTCAAGAAACTAGCGATATTACTTTGCAACTTTTAATGATACACTAAAGTATATATTTGTTATGAAACTGACGTATATTGTAATAAATAAAAATTGGAGTGTCTATAATATCAAAAAAAAAATTTCAAATTTCGGAAAGATGATGTATTTGCATTGCTGATAACGAAACTCTGTCATTCTGTCAGTCCTAATGCCGCGTTTGTTCTGGGTAATCTCCGAATCGACTGGACTTTCACGAAAGGGTAGCTGACACAGGCAGATAATAGACTACTTTTTATCTTAATATTACATGGACGGAGTCGCGAGCAACAGCTAGTTGTATAACGTAACATATTACGTTGTTACTTGGTACTCAACCCATTCTATTACTAATACTTCTTTGTGGATTTGCTGGTATTAGGATAACCGCCAATAATTGTCAAGATATCCTTCCTTAGTGGAAACTTACTGCGTTGCTTGTTTATAGAGATGTATCTTTAAAGCTCAATAAATTAATTAAGCTTAAATAAAAGCTTTTCCTGATACACCATTTCCGCTTCCGCTTTATGTCTTTGCCTTTCTTCAACTTTTGTTAATCTTTGTACTCGTACATTCGTATAAAAAAAAAAATCTACTGTATCCATAAACTGTATTTTACTACTCCGTGTAATTGGATTGTTGGATTTAAATAAATCATTTTTTCATTCATTTTTGTTAGGTTACGTAATTATTTCTACTCTAGGATTTCCTGTAAAGATATTGTATTTTAATTTTATAATATGAGTGTTACATCTGATTCAATTAAGAACAAGTTTACAGTAAACATTTTTAAATTATACGGTAAAGTATCCAATATTTTGTATAAAAATCTTCCTCCATTATGTTAACTTAATAACGATTTATTTATAAAGACCCTCTTTGTATTACGGAAATTTTTGCTCTTCGTTTGACAAATAAGTGTATTACTTAATAATGTAGACAATTTTGTTATCGTTGAGTTATTTTATTATTTATCGCTTAAGTATCAGGAAGCTTTCATATTTATTCAAATTTGATGATGTAAATTCTCGAAAATGTGAAAAACATTTTCTAAATAAAACAATTTTAGCAAACAATTTTACGTATATGCTTCATTTTTGTTCAATTATTATTTTTTCAAAACCTCCACAATTATAGTTAAGTAACTTATCATTAAAACTTTAAAAGCTTTAATGATAAGTTACAAGGGATACGTTTTATTTTTACATCTCTTTGTGTGTAATGTAATAACTATTTGTTACAATAAAATAACTTATCTTACTAAGCCAAAATGCTATCAAAAAAGTACAACTTTCTTATGATGAAAATCAAAGTACCGTTAATGTTCTATTCCATTAAAATTTCTTGTTAAAACTTTCAACATAAGATTAATGAGATTTCCTTCAGTTTGAGGTCAACACATTTCATGTCATAAACTAATTTTTATTTAAAAAATACAATAACTGCTTTCTTACCGTACTCCGAAGAAGATATCAAAGATATACAAGCCCACTTACATGCAACCATAAATCATTATAGCAAAAACCCTTACCCTCTTTGCAATTAGGCGAATAATAAAAGACGGATTGGTACATTACTCACCATAGAGTTAAATGCTTGTAAATTCATATTTTCCAAAAATTTTCTTTTGCATAATTTATAATTCCAAGTAACGTCTAAAGATATAAACGGACTCATCTCGTAGAGTGCACTATCTCGGTGTCTAGGGAACGGACCGTCGCCACCCTCAGTGGTTCGCTGTCGTATCTAATAAATAGAATTAACCGTGAAGATACCGCAAGAAGCAAGGCTTTTAAAATATTAGAATTCTTACATAAAACCTTGATAAGGTTAAAAGGTTATTTTGAACTTAATGTAAAATATTTATTACATTTATTTAAAAGTAATAAAAAAAATCTGAAAAAAAAGTTTTTTTCTTTCGTCTAATAAAATTCGTTTTTTTTTTTATAACATAAGGTGGCAAACGAGCAAGCGGCCACCTGAATCCGCCAAAATGGCGAAGCGACCGCTGCCCATAGACATCCGCAATTGCAGATGCGTTGCCTACCCTTATACGACGGAGGAGGAGACGCACATAAAGAGGATATTTCCCCTTCCTATGCATCTCCTTATAAAAAAAGGGTGGTAAAGGGAAAGGGACTTAAATTAGGCCTCCGGCACCACACACATCAGACGAAACACGGAATTGCTACCATTTCACGCCTGTCTTCTGTGTGGTCGTGGTATTACACCGGGCGTGCCGGCCCATTCGTGCTAAGATGTTAAAGCGGGCACTACCACTGCAAAAAGTTCTACCTACACTACCTCGTCTAAAAGTTTTCACCTCAAGTGCTATTAAGGAACTGTAAACATTAAGTTGTTTATTGTCTTTGGCTGTAAATTAAATGAATTGTCCTGGAAATTGAAACGAGAATTAAATTTGAGATTTTATAAGTATTATCATTTCTCATACAAAGATACAAACAGTATCTCTCAAGTCTACAGACCGAAAACCCATTAGAAATCCTGCTAATTATTATGTTGTATCATAAAATGTTGAAATACATACAAACCCATCACTAATTTCGGATTTTCTTCATCATTTGCTTAAAATTTAAATGAAGAAACAAATTTTTTCACAAACAATTCCGAGAAAGCCTCGAGGATAATTTACTTCTTAGGATAAATCCTTGTTTACTGCGGCCTCTTAGCAAAGGATCGCTTAATTAATTCATCTTCAAAGCAATTTCAATTGTTTACTCTCTAAACCCCAAACATTCAGAGTAATATTACAAATTAAGACAGACATTTACTGAATACTGTTATAAGATAGTACATAAAGCAAGATATCAGTCTTTGGTCAGTCTATATCGATCAATAGATGGCGCTTAAGGATTAGGCGCACCATTTGTATTATAATTATATTATTTAAAACACGTAGAACATTAATTAAAAATAGTATTGACATTTATAAGAACGAGATTTGTATGAATAGTATTTATTTAAGTAAAGATTATTAGTTAACACTGGCCACCGACAATCCACCAAGACAAACCAAATTAAAAAGATAATAAAAAAGCTGATTTTTAGGCGCACATAAAAGTGCAATATAAATACGAAAGATGTAACAAAGTAAATGTGAGCTCTTATAATGAATTAACTATATATATTGTGTAAATATGAATAAATAGGTTGGTTAAACAAGATGGTACTAGTTTACATTTATTTAGAATAAGCTTTCGGCCGCGACTCCGTAGGCAGGTAATTAAAAAAAAAAAACAAAAATGAGTATATATATGTTCTTCCGGACCATCCTCTACATCTATGCCAAATTTCATCGAAATCCGTTTAGGCTACAAACTCTAACAAACATCTATCCATCCATCTAAACTTTCGCATTTATATATTTTTTTTATAACATAAGGTGGCCAACGAGCAAGCGGCCACCTGAATCCGCCAAAATAGCGAAGCGACCGCTACCCATAGACATCCGCAATTGCAGATGCGTTGCCTACCCTTACCCGACAGAAGAGGAGACATACAGAAAGAGGATACTTCCCCTTCCTATCCTTCTTCTCCACCGTCAATTCCACTTCCCCTTCCCATCCTCTCCTCATAAGAAAAGGGTGGTATAGAGAAAGGGACTTAAATTAGGCCTCCGGCACCATACTCATCACACGAAACACGGAATTGCTAATAATAATAATATTAGTATGATTCGTATGATTAGCAATAGGCCTGTCAGAATATCCAGCATCCAAAACGGGACCTCTTTCGCTGTACAATGCATTTATTTCATTCAATTTAATCCTTCTCAACTTATTTTCTCCGTACTGCATCTTCTTGACAAAAGACTTGATTGATAATTTAAATTATCACTGAATGGTACACGCACAGTAAGTTATCCTGTCCAAATAATTCTTTATTCAAAATATCAGCGTAATGTAATTCCATGATTTTTCCTTTGATATAATTATATGGAATTAGTAGAGATTCGCATAGCGATGTTTATCTGAGCAATAATTGGTGAGACATCGGTCGGGCATCTTCAATTAAATACCACGACGAAAGATCGGGAATTCTTAGTTATTTTCATACTCAACGTTCACACTGAGATAAAATATTTTCTTGTTATGAAATATACTTTGATGACGGGAGATAAGATACGATTGGATTGTTTTAGCTCCCGATATTTCGGCAAAGTTGCATGCGCCATGTTCACGGGCTGACTGAAGTGATGCGGTAGTGTGAAAAAATAATATCTTACAAGCATTATATTTGTAAAAACTACGACAGTTTATAGTGACGGGAGATAGATGATCATAAATGGCGAGAACCTGTTCGGTCGAGCCTACATGAGTTGGATAAGGCCAGGGAGATGTTGACTTTAGTTTTATAAATAATTTATTGTATTAGAGACAATATAGCAAATTAGTTACCTGCACATCCTTATATCTCCTTCGGTTCTTCAACTAATAGTAGATTAAAAATTTAATTAGATATTGATTTGTCATTACTCAAAAGTTGTTATTTAAATTAATCGATCGAAATTATTAATTCAAACTTTGTATGCTATTGTCTGATAGAAATAGATTAAGTATATTTTCAGAAACAAAATTTAACTTTACTATTTTATCGGAACTATTGATTCATTTTTACACTCACGCACAAACCTCCTACACAACTCAACTCTCTATTTTAAATACCACGTATTAATAAATTAGTTCTATTAGTAGTTATTTTATACAATAAATTTTATTGTCCTTTTGTTTATTCGAAATATCATACTACCATGTATTAAATAATTTTATCAATTCGTCATTAACCTGGTTCAGAACAATACTGGTTACAAATATCATGAATCGCTATCACATTTCATAGAGCTAATACTACTGACTAGATCTGTTGTAAAATATAACGCTATACTTCTAACAATGATACTCAAGAGTATATATATGATAAAAGAATAACGTGTGATTGTATGAATTGCATGCATGCGAAATATTGCTTACGCCCACACATCGGGTCAGCAAAACAATAGACATAGGTCAGCACAGCGATGCAATAACATGAAGTAAATCCAAACTGTATCACAATAAAACAAAAGGGATTGTGTGGACAATGCCTAAGCTATCCCCCGCCCGGTATCGATCTCGTTCGTTATGTAACCCCCCGCGCGACTCTCCCCCGGTACCTCCGTATCATTCATAGCACCGCTGTGCCGGACTCACCCTGACGGAGCCCAGTGCTCACCCCCGTGCGCAGCTCAGTTCGCGCAATCTTCCCTCGCCGGGGTATAGTTGATATCCAGACATCGCAGCAAGAGGTCGCCACTAACTTACACACTGTGTTTTGTTTTGTCTCCGTGATAAATGTATTAAGGTAAGGAATTACAAATTTATTTATTAAAATGTTACGTTTTTTTATTTTTATTATCATGACTTTAACATATAATTTTGACAGTTTATCATAATCAGAATGTACGAATAGTCATAAAAGACCAATAAAAATATGACCTACATTTTCAGACTGGATTTAAATCTTCATTATAGACATTTTTAAATCAATATCTACCTACAATCACACATTCTATTTTATTTAAGGCAATTATACATTTTATCGCATAGCTTTTGTTTGTTTTTTTTTCGTTACTTATGTTACTTTGACTTAATTTTAATATTATTTCATTTCATATTATAGTCAAGGTTTATCGATAGATAGTCATGTTTATTCATAAAAAATGAAACTACTGCTTCAACCATTACACAGGAATGAGGAATTACATTCATTATTTGTTATTTTCTTAATGTCAGTTGCTTTCAGGTGCTTTGTTAACGCAATATTACGTAAATGGCGAACTCAAAATGAAACACAACTTTGTGACTGGAATATGAACTAAACAGTTGTGTTACATCATTTTTTAACTATTCCTAGTATTTTATTACTTAGTCGTAATTTGTATCAATTTTCCAGCTTTCTGTTTTTAATTAAGTATCTTGGAAACGAAGCTCAAATTTAATATTTTCGTAAAATTTTTGAGACTCTCCTTATGTGAGTAGAGATTCCGTTAGAGTTTTAATGAATTCAAGCTTTATAAATAGTAAAGCTAAGTAAACTCGTAGTTTTGGAGAGATCTAGTTTCAACTAGCATGTATTTTCCACTATAAGAAAGAACCAAAGCTCTCCACTTGTTGAATGTAAACTTAAATGTCAAACATTCAATTGTTTTGACATGGTAAAAAATTACAAAATAAAAAATAAAACCTCTTCAGTAATTAATAATTGCTTGCAATAGTAAATGTACTTTAGTCAACAAATTTTGTTACTGTGTACCGTATGTCGAATGTACTTTTAAAGTAAAGCGGATAATACTGGCTATATAAAATACATAAGCCGCCGCTTTCCGCTGCCCACAATGTTAGCGTGGGGCGGCGGTGATCGATACTGAAGGAAATACCTATTACATACGAGCACTGTAACGTTTTAGTCTAGAATAATTTGAGTTCAGCTGAGTTTTGATGCAAATTTTGTACAATAAACAAGACAAAGAGTCATCAGTATTGATCGAAAACAATTTCATCATCATCCACCCTCCCTTATCCCTTATGGAGGGTCGGCACAGTATGTGCTGCTCTTCCATACATCTCTATCAGCCGTCATATCTGAATCCACTCCTTTCTTAAGCATATCTTCCTTCACACAATCCATCCATACTTTCTTCGGTCTTCCTCTTCCTTTGTAGCCATCCACATTCAATCTCAACACTTTCTGGTTTATGTCTCCATCATTTCGTCGCATAATATGTCCATACCACTCTAACGAAAACAAGTTCATATTTTATCTTTTATTCTTTTTACAATATCAAAGATATTCCACAATGGAAACTTATGAAGACAATGTTGCCAGTGTGTGCACACACCTGTTACAATATAGAGGTGTGAACGTCGTTTTATATGGCAATAATTTTCTATAATAGCTTTGTGGCTTAACTAAAAGCCGAGAAGGGAGTCGCAGTGATTTATTTCAGCCATTATTAGATACGTGTAACCGAAGGGAGAGTTATAAGGGCGCGTGACGACTTATTTAATAGTTTTATCATTACAATAATAGAGTTATTTTGTTTTATAATAAAACTTAAAAACAAAACCGACTTCCAAACAAAATACACTAAAAACAAAACAAAATGCACTAAAAACAAAACAAAATACACCAAAAACAAAATATT